TTTTCTATTTACTGTTATTAATATCTAAAAGGTCTGATATTTTATTTTTGTCAATTAAGTATGTCAGAAGCATACTTAGTAATTATATCTGAGTTTTCCCAATTGAAAATGTAGGCAACTTTCTAACTACTAATCAAAACAATAATCTAAGAAAGTCTACAACACAAGTTTATATATAATCTAAACTATACTAAAATGATGTACAATGATGTCAACTATGATATGACACAAAATTTAGGGGCCTAGACTTCAGATTTCTTTGATTTTCAAATTAAGGTACCACTACATTACAGAAACATAAAATGCCTATCAAGAGAATTTCAAGTGAGTAAGTTCTAAATGATAAATTGCATATTAGTACCATTTCAACTGTATTTGAATGAAAACTTAAACATTTCCAGAATTCATTGTTAGCTCACATATCCAATTGAAAAGAAATAATTTGAATTTCTAGCTGATTTTTTAAGATTGTTCGAGTATGTATGCATTCAATAATTTTTAAAAGAAATTTAAACCAAAGAAAATGTCCTGCTTTTGCAAAATCTCTACGGGAAACTATTCCTTGTGAACTTTAAAGTTCCTGCTTTTCTTTTTACCATAAAGTAGAACAAATAGTCCTACTTTATTACCATAAAGTAGTAAACCAGGACAATAAAGTTCAGCTTTATAATAACAAACTTGTTTTAATTTTTGTTTTGCTTTACCGTAACGGGACAAAAGAAAAAGAAAGTTGTAGTATATGTTTACATTGTTTGTTTTGCAATTGACAATTTACCTATGTAAAAACTTTCCTCAAAAGCAGGGTTATTTGAACAAATGAAATTGAAACAAGATGTTTATTAAGGTATGATTTCAAATACTGAATTAATTTCTCTATTACTGAATTATTCTGGCTTTTTAGTCTTGAATATTTGTATTTGTTCTCTGTTTACAACTCCTTGTAGATTTTCTAGATACTAATTATCTGGAAAGTAAAATAAAATACAGGACAAACAATTTACTAAACACACATACAAACTTTCTTCATAATAATGTTTGATATAGTAGGTACCCATAATCATAGTAATTTTTTATACCATAGTGTCATAGCATTCTTTATCTCAGAATACAGACCATATTGATTATATTAAACACAATTTTTTAATATAAATACTTAAAGTATTAGTTCTTACCAGATCTTGCCCAGCACATCAAACAGAGAAAAATGTATACTCTCATTTGGAATCTGATAAAAGTAAAAGAAGCACTCAGGTTAACCAAAAAAAGAAATTCTGAAATTCATTAAAGTTTCTCTTTGGCAGGACTGTCACAGTCGGGTAGGTTTTAATGTAGAATATTCCTGGCCTTTCGCTCCTCCCTGTTTGTTGAAAAGGTGAGGTAGTTTGCCTTCTCCCATTTGGCTTGTGGTCATAAGAAGGATTTTTAAGTTACAGACTCTGTAATAAGTCACAAACATTCAGCTATACAAGTTGAATTTAAGGGACAGAAAAGTCTAATTATATCTTTCTTTATTCCTCTTAACCTCAGGATTTCAGAAGTGGTCAGGAAGAATATGTTTGTTGAAAACCTAAAGCAAATGCAATGTTAGAAAATGCTAGAAATGAAAAGAGTCAGGAAAGTTGTGGTTTATGTTCATTTTGATTACAAACTGAGTTGTCTTTATACACCATAAAATCAATAATAAAATCCATATCCATAAAGCTGCCAAGTATAAAATATGGCCTTTTATATTTATGTCATTTTGCAACCCAAACTCAGTGGCTATTTTAAAATTCAAAATGCTAGCCTGTCTCTTGAAATTTACAATTTGAAAATAAAAATGGTTTCGTTTTTAAAATAGCAAACATTTTAAAATTATTACAGTTTCTCTTTTCACACATTTACTTATTTTTTCCCTTATTTTCCTCCCAGCCATGGACTTCAATAGGCAGGGAAAACAGGAAATTGTTCTTCTCTATGTACATGCATCAACAGCTCAAAAATTAAATTTATCTTTTGGAAATTCAAGTCTTTGTAGATTTCCTAAGATATTTTAAGAACAGAGGTGTTTAATTCACAGCATCAATCAGTAGAAACTATCCTGAGGTCTGGGGAAGTGTTTCAGAGGATTCACAAACTAAATGAGGTATTCATTTAAAAATCACGAAAAATTTAAATGCTGATGAAATCTCATCATCATTTGGACCTGTCTGCTCTCTGGGAACTTATGTGAGACTTCATTTTTTAAAGGGGTACCACCACTTTGATTTGACTGGAGACCAACAAATAACCAAAGTCCTTCCTCATCATTTAGCTGTAATAACTGTACTTCTCTAACAAAGGTACAAGGAAAGCGCATCATTTCAGAATGTGGAAAGAGAATGTAATTGTCATATATGCTAAGAGAAATCTTCTTAACAAGTTTATGCTCAAGTTAAAAGACAAGCCTTTCCCATGTCATGTAAATTGCCTTTCGCTTTGTGCTTTTAATGTGATACTGTAATATGAACAGTGCATATTATTTTCATCTTAACCATTCTAAAGAGCTCATATTGAAAATACCAACTTGGCATTTAATATAGTACAATACATGGCAGAGTTTCAAAATATAAAATTATATTTCATTTTCATTTTTTTTACTTACTGCCAATAGTAAGAAAGTTGGGGTTGTTAATATCCATTATTAAATGGGAAAATATTGAGGAATCATGAAATATTATGTAGAGTACCTGTAGTTTAGTAAGACAATATTTAGGCATAATTTAGTCTCCTTGGATATAAAAAGATGATTTTAAGAATCTTACAGTCATGCACACAGCATAAATCATACTATAAAAGTGAAAATGAGGATGACGATGATGATGAAATAAAATTGGTGGGACCCTATACACCAAGCATGCTTCTAAGCACTTTACAGGTAATTATAGTAGGTAGCTGAATAGTGTTTATTGAGAAGGGGGAGTCATTTTTTGTCAGAATGTATTTTGGCACAATCTTTTCATATGATTTAGCAAACTGTGTTAAAATGTTTAATGATCTACCCTTTGGTCCTGCATTTAAACATCCAAGAAACTTTCCTACAGAAATACTAACACATGTGCACAAAGATATATGAGCAAGGACGTTCATCTCAGCATTTTTATAATAGTCAAAAAATGGAAACATTGTAAATAATAGTGGGGGATTAGTCTAATTATATATATATATATACTGTGAATTAAAATTAATGATGTAGATAAATCAATATTTCTTGGTATAGAAAGCCTCCATTACATGGCTTTAGGCAATAAACGGCAAGCTAAAAAACAATATGTATAGTAAGGTTATTTTCCTAAAATATATTTTATGTTTATGCATAGATCAAAGTTAGAAAGGTTTTCCTCCAAAATGTTATCTCTGCTTGGTAGACTCATTTATGATTTTCACTTTCTTAGTTGTCTTTTTAAATATTACAAATATTTCTTTCCAATAAATGTCTAATATAAGTAAAACAACACAAAAAGTTCTATTTACTTAAGACAAATATAGTTAGGAAAATCAGAATAAAGACAAAATGAGGGTAAGAAAAAAAATGAAGACAAAAGTGAGGTCAATTTTTAAAAAGCATCCACTACACTCCCTTAATGTTTATTTCCCAAGTTTCTCCATTCATTCATCATGTATTCATTCACTTATGCAACTTTTATTAAGCATCTACTGATTTCCAGACATAACTTAGTTGCTGGACACACAAAGGAGAGACATTCATTTAGTTAAACTGTATTATTTCAACAATGATTTATGATATCTCTAAAGAGGTGTCAGAGATTGCTGACAGAGACACTGAAATATTATTTATCCTGTAGTATTTCACAGTGAGAAGGGCTTGGAAAAGGCCTATCTTGGAAAATGTATAATCACACAGATAGGGAAGCCAGCTAATCTACAGTGCAGAGTTCAGGGAAGCCTTGCAGGAGATGCTGTCTGGGCTGAGCTATGAAAGGGAATGTCACCTGAGCAGAGAAGGGGAGAAAGGAATTCTAGATATAGAGATAGAGAGATAGATAGAGAGATAGAGAGAGAGAGATGTAAACATTTTCCTATTTGATGTCTTCATGCAGTTCGAGGTATAAGACCTGCTGATAAGAGTGAAGAAAAGTTAATTCTTTATAGTGTTCCATGCATTTAACCCATTTAATCTTATATGTGATTAATGGTCCAGGAAATGCTGAGAATAAAATGAATTCTTTTTAAGGGATCACTAGGTTTATCACCATGCATTCACTCAGTTTGAATTAGGAAATACAGTAAGCTTACAGCAGAAAAACCAAACAGATTGAGATCAAATTCTGAACAAACAGCTAACAGCATGAGCTGACTTTCAGAGCTTATAACATCAAATAATTACTCTAGAAGTACATGTACCATAAACTTATATACTGCCAAAAGAAAAGAGGATGTGGTAAGAATACCAAAATCATACACACTAGACAAAGAATGATGCAAAATTCAAAACAACAAGAAAATATGATCATGGCGTATATGTGCACTGCACATTTTACAATGAAATCTGAAGTTATAGCTCCCCAGATAAGCAGTATATGTGGGAAAGTTAAAGAGAAAATATTTTGGTTTGCGTAAGATTTATGGAGAAAATGAACTCTAAAATAGATCTAAACATAATACAAACCTTCAAGGACCTATACGTTTGATCAAGCTATATTTGTTTTATGCCTACAATGTGCAAATTTTCTCAACCCCCTCCTACCTATTACAACAATGTTAATGAGAGAGGAAAGAAAGAATAAATGGAGACAAGACTTGTAGACTCATGATATACCAACTGAAGGTGACTACAGAAGTTACTGACACATAATTTTGAACTTAGATGTCCAAAAAGTCTGTTTGTCCCACTATGCTGTAAGGTTCAAGAGGGCGTATCTTACTCTTATACTTACCTTTGTCTCCCAAGGATTAGAAACAGTGCCTGGCACATAGTAAGCACTCAGAAAACATCTATTAAGTGAAGTAATTATATTAGTCCAATCCATTACTCAATAAACAGAACTTGAATTCCAAAAAGTGGAATTACTTATTTAAAGTCATAAAATTAAGTAATGTCAGAGTTCAGTTAGAAATCAGGATTCCAAATATGTGTCCCTTTTCATTAAAAAAGATGATTTCTTTGGTCCAGTAACCATGTAAAAGCATATCTTTTCAATTCAAAATGAATTATCATCACACCTAAGGCCAAACACAGTAAGACCAAACATTGTCCTTTTACTTAAACGGTATTTACAGGATGATTTCAAGGTCCTATGTAGATGTATGGTATCAGAAAGGAAACCAAATTAACAGTTGACAGTTATTTGATCAAAATATTGAAATTCTGAGTAAGTTTTCTTCCTCTTTTGTTTTAATTTTCTTTATTGTTTTTAGGATCTTTTAAAAAATTTTCCTCCAGCAAGAATTAATTCTTCACCTTGGTACCGTTTACAAAGTGTGGCCCTAATACAAAGTAAAAATATTGGATCCTATTACAAGAAGCCAGCAGCTCTCCTCAAGAATTCTGGCTTCAGTAACAAAACGTACTATAGTCTTTCTAGTATTCCTTGGTATAGACTGTTTTCTCAAGTTCATATGCCTTCTTGAGTCCACCTAAAACCTGTCTCCATTTTCACAGAATTCATTAGGGAGCACTTTCTAGGTAAATAAACTTAATTAGAGTACTTTACTGTATCCACATCCATGCATGCATGTATTCATCCTTTCCAAAAGTATATTATGAAAAATATAAACTGTAAATCCTAATGATTTATTCATTTACACTTTGGAAACAAAGAAATTAAGTCTTCCCCTGTTAGCCTTTATATGTTAATATAGCTTAAATTATCTTTACAGTCATTTTATTTAAAATGTTGGCTGAAAAATTCAAAATCAATCAATAAGGTCGTGCGTTGGAGAATGAAGGACACCC